ACGAAACCAGGTACATTGATCTTAACATACCTTTCCTCAAATTTCTTTGGTAATTTTGATAACTCAGCAGGTGCTGACATATCAATGTTAATTTTCAGTGAAAGATTGACTAGATGACCCTGTGTGGAAACATTTAGTCGATCATTGACCAGATATTTTCGTAAACACCGTGTCTACCATGAGCAGATGCTTCATCTTCTGATCGTGGCCTCAACCTGACGTTTGACTCGGTGTCTGACATATCAATAACTCACGATAGAAAAAAACTTCCAAGCATACGACATGCGATGCTCAAACTCTCAACTGGTAACCAATCAACCAGAGACAACTATTCCAACTCACTTCTTATTATCCCAATTCCCAAAAATACTTAAAAATCCCCACAAGATGTAAAACAAGAAGACATCAACTTATTACCCTATTCATGTAATTAAACAAACAAACAAAGAAAGAAACCTTAATCAATAAATTAAAAAGAAAAAAAAAGCATACATCTTTTCGACAACTTTCTTTCTGACTTCAGATGTCAATTCTGCTCTCCAATCCTGTCTTTGACTTGTCATCCCTTCAACTTTTAAACCCTTAAAACTTTTGTCCTCCATCATGCAAAAAACCCCCACCAAAAGAACCTGGAAAGAAACACACACACAGAAACACAAATATACATGAGATAGTATAACAACAGATTCGAAACAAGAGAGAGAAAAAGATCCAGCCTAGATAACAGGAAAAAAATACAGAAAAACCCTTACAGATGGGTTTTAGAAGAGAAACAAAAGATGGTGCAGGTGACCCTTTTGTTCTTTGAAGCGGGAGACGAGTGCGGGGATTCGTTAATGTATATAGATTTGGTTTTGATTGGATTTTTCTTATTAAGATTTTGGAGGAGAGTAGGAGTGACTGTTTTGTCAAGGAAATCTGTGAGGGTTTGGGATTCGTTACGTGAAGACTCACAGGGTGTGTAGTTTTTATGAGAGGAGGCTCGCTGCTTACACGTTGTCGGGCGTTCACGTTATATGACACACCAAATAGGGTCGGTGCCATTCCATCCAGATTCTTAGTGAAGTAGTAGGTCAAGAGAAAAGCCCAATGAATCTTATCTTGGACCATACATTGAGTATTATAGTTGTTAATCTGACCCAAGACCTGATTAAAAAAAATAATTTATTATTAAAAAATAATTTTAACTTTAGGTTTGAATTAGATTTAGCCTAATTAGTTCAAGGGTTAACATGCTTGGTTACTTGAATTTCATCAATTTAATATGAAAATTATTTTAAATTAAAATTATATATGTTAGGATTTAAATAATAGATTTATCACGTCAATTTATTAGACCTAACAATCAAAATTATTTCAAATTAAAATTATATAGATTAAGATTTAAATAGTAAATTTATCAGGTCAACTTACTAGACTAAATCGAGGTTAATAACATCACGGAGAATAGCTTATTTTATAAAATCTTTACCTAAATATTTGGAATCTAATTCTAGTATTTTAGTTTTGTTAGTTATGGTTATGTGAATATTTATATACTTGATTTAGTTTTTTTTAGAGGCATGTATAGATTATATTCCTTTATTTCAAGCAATTTGTAGTTTTAAGATTAATAATTCACAAGCAATTTTCTTTTAGTATTTTTATTGGATGCATTTTTGAATAAGTGTTGTTTGATTGTGTTTTAAAATTGCTATATTTGATTATTGGTCATTCATCACATTGTTGTTTGTGTGTTTCTTAAATATAATTAATTATTGGATATTGTGATTTATTTCTTTGAAATTTCTATTTGAAACAAAGAGAAAAGGTTCAAATGAAAAATAAATAAATTGAAGAATGCCAGTAACATGTATCGACTTCATATGATGATATATAATTTGTGCCATTCATCCAATACAAATACAAGCATTAGTAATGGAATAATGTTAAAATTACAAGATAATTTATTTATAATTTTTTAATAACTAATCATACATTATTCATGATTTAAAGAATTGAAATATGTTAGATATCGCAGTACCTATTAAAGTAATATTTGTAACGTTTTTGTATAATAGCTTAATTATTATTAGTTGTCAAAAAATAATATTTGTAAAAAAAAAAAAAAGAGAGAAAAACACTCATATAGAAAAGATATCGTTTTGCATTAAAAAAACCTATTTATGTTAAGGAATATCAAGCAGTCCTACGAGAAAGACCTTTCCCACCTTCATCAATATTTCTAGCAATTTTTTTGAAGCTTATGTCTAGAAAACATTTTCAAGTTTATTTGAATACACGAGATTAATGGGAAGGTGTGCTTTTACTATTATCTAGGCTTTACTTGTGTGTTGAAAAATAATTTTTTTAAAATGGTTTTTATAAAAAATAAATTTTTTAAAAGTGATTTTTTTTAATGATACTAAATTTAATTGATAAAAAAGTTAAAAGATAATGAAATTAAAAATTATTTTAAATAAAAAATCACAAAAATGCAGACTAAATTTAATAGATAAAAGATTTCAATTAAGAAAAAAATAGTTAAAAAAAAAATCAAAGTTGATATAAAAATTAAATTAAACTAAATTTTAAGGGATAAATTTTTTTTAAAAAAATTCAAAACACAGTATATAACAATAAAAAAACTCATAATCAAACTTGATATAATCAATAAATAATAAGATATTTTTAATTTTTTATAACTTTTAAAAAATATATTTTTATCTAATTCTCCGCATCATCACCAACCAAATTAGGAAGATTTTGGGCTACTAGCACAAAAACAAATCTAGTAAAAATAATACAACTACAAAAAATTTTGATAAAATATTATATTTTAAAATCCTTGCGATTCTCAAATACAATTGATAAAAATATCATGAATAAAAAACATGATATCAAGTAAATATTGCATTTTAAAACTATAACATATATAAAAAAAATCAGGATTGGAAAGTGCAACATGTTAATTTGGCAGCGGCTGCAGAAATGATTTTTAAGAAAGAAGATGTCCTTGGAGGTTTGGAGATGAAGATGAAAACGAGTTTTGGGTGTTTCAAGGACAATAAACTACTAGCTGGTTTGCAAGCTTTTTGCAGAGACAAGGGGTTGTCGTGCTGGTTTAGAGAGAGAGGAGGAGGCTGTGTGCGTGTGCTGTGTGACTGATGAGTTGAAGAATGCCATAAAAAAAACTTACAATATGGATGATCTCTTCTATATGATAGTGTGTGTGTGTGTGTGTGTGTCT